ACAGCCCTTGAGCCGGGAGTTTATGGTATGGCCACACGTGCGATACAGCAGCATGTGCGATATATCAACACGCGCGATACAGCAACACGTGCGATATAGCAACACGCGCGATACAGCAACACGTGCGATATAGCAACACGTGCGATACAGCAACACGTGCGATATAGCAACACGTGCGATACAGCAACACGTGCGATATAGCAACACGTGCGATACAGCAACACGTGCGATACAGCAACACGTGCGATATAGCAACACGTGCGATACAGCAACACGTGCGATATAGCAACACGCGCGATACAGCAACACGTGCGATATAGCAACACGTGCGATACAGCAACACGTGCGATATAGCAACACGTGCGATACAGCAACACGTGCGATACGGAGCATGCGGGGCATACGGACCGGGAGGGAGCGGGAAGGACTCGTAGGCGGGGTTGGTGTAGGCGAAGAGGTCCTTGAAGTTGGGCGGGGGACTCGCCTGCCAGGCAGCGGGGCGAAGGGCGGGAACACAGGGTTTCAAAAAGAGACAACACGCGTGTCCAGGTGCGACGCCACACAACGCAACGAGGCAGGTGGGCGAGCAGCGTGAGCGTGAGGCAGGAGGGCGAGCAGCGTGGGCGTGAGGCAGGAGGGCGAGCAGCGTGGGCGTGAGGGATGCGAGTTGGGGTGGGGTGGGTTACCTGAAACAGGATCGACTTCTCGTCCACCACTATGCTGACGTCAGCCTGAAATATCTCGCTGCGGTAGGTGGCGCGGGCAGCGTTGCTGGAGGGCGTTATGGGGGCGCTGCCGTGCGATGGTGGAGGGAGGGAATGGAAGAAGCGCGAGGGGAGAGATTTGAGAGTCAAATCTCTCGGTCATGTCAGCAGTAAAGGTACGTCTTCTGGTGCCTCCTTGTGCTGTCGCGATGTTGTGGCGCGTACTCGTAGCTTACTTTCGATGTCGGTCAGGGCCCTTTCAACACGCCCCGCGTCACAACGATTGAGTTGGTTTATCATTGAGCAAGCATGTCATGTGATACTGGGGTGAGGCGAGTGATACTGGGGTGAGGCGAGTGATACTGGGGTGAGGCGAGTGATACTGGGGTGAGGCGAGTGATACTGGGGTGAGGCGAGTGATGCGGGAACACTGCTAAGAGTAGTGGCGGAAAATGAGGGTAAGCAGAGGGGAAACTGATGGGAGGCAGGGGGCAAAATGAGGAGAGGCAGGGGGGCAATGAGGGGAAGCAGAGGGGGAAAGTGCGGGGTAGCAGGAGCGGAAGTGAGGGGGGGTAGGGGGGACGACGAGAGGGAAACAGGAGGGGGGAAAGTGAGGGGAAGCGGGAGGGGAAAGTGAGGGGAAGCAGGGGGAAAAGTGAGTGGAGGGTGCGGGAAATATGAGGGCAAACATGGGGGAAAGTGTGGGGAAGCAGGGGGAGAAATGAGGAGAACAGAGGGAGAAATGAGGAGAACAGGGGGAGAAATGAGGAGAACAGGGGGAGAAATGAGGAGAACAGGGGGAGAAATGAGGAGAACAGGGGGAAAAGTTAGTTGAAACAGGGGGTACTGAGTGGAGGCTGGGGGAGGCTGAGGTAAGCCGGGGGTAAAGTGGGCGAGTATGAGAAGGCGGGCGCGCCGTGTAACACCTCGCTACCCACTGGGTCAAAACGAGGGTTATATTTGAGGCGCAGCGGATGCACTCAACTCTTACGTGTACGCCCCACAGGCGTTACACGCCGAGACTAAGAGTGGCGGGTCCCGGGAGGTTAGAGGGCGGCTGGCCCGCCAAACTTGAGAGGGCGGGCCCGCCGAGAGTGAGAGGGAGGACCGTGAGAGGGCAAGGTGACCAGTATATGTGAGATGGCCGAGGCGTTGGTAGAGAGAGTGGAAGGCTGCTGACGACGACCTACGCGACTAGGTGCGAGGGGAGGCGCGGCGCGGTGCGAGGAGAGACGCGGCGAGGTGCGAGGGGAGGCGCGGCGCGGTGTGAGGGGAGGTGCGTGAGGAGAAGCGCGACGAGGTGTGAGGGGAGGCGTGCGAGAAAAGGTGCGGCGAGGTGCGAGGGGAGGCGCGCGATGGGAGGCGTGGCGAGGTGCGAGGGGAGGCGCGTTACCATTTTCTGAGTGATCTCACCATCCGGAAATTTCTCCTGTGCAGGTTTGGTTTCAGGCTTCTGAAATTCGCCAACCTATTTTTGTTTCGCACATGCGAAATGAGTTTGTCCGAACTCAATATCTCGAACAGCCTTCAAATATACGCTCGCTCCGAATGCGTCGAGAGCAAAATCTTACCTCTGAGAGGCGTCGGCGCATTCGCAAAGGGGTACAGTCACCGTCACCGCTATAGCTAGAGCTAACACGGCAGCAAACATCACCGAGGGACGCGCCATGCGATGAAGCTTTACGGAAAATCGTGTTAAGCCCAGGTGTTGATGAAGATTATTGCAGCAAGCTGGCTAGACTAGCTGATCAAGATGTGAGAGTGAGCTAAACTAAATCAATGGGCTATCAGTGGAGGCGACCAAGTCCCAACTGAAGTAGGCTAGGGTGGAGGTGGGGAGAGGGATTTGGGATTCCGCAGGAAGTGAGTGAAGCGTGGCTCAACCCAGCTGTTACCTAGCTTGACCGGACTCAGCCAGATCTAACCACCTTATCTCCTGCACGAGTCACAGGCAGCTGGCAGTGCGCCTTCGGCTTGGCTTGGAATGCGCTTCGAGCAAAGATTTTTGCGCTACGGGCAGTCGTCGAGCATTTGCCTGGGCACGTCCATTTGTGTGGCACTTCATTCACCCCTGGGAGTTGTTGTTCCGTCAGACCGCCGGGGACACGAAACGAGGATCTAGGGAACTGTCCGAACACCCATAAAGAGCTCGATAGAAGAAATTTCGAACAGAATACAAGCAAGTTCCTCCCTGTAAAAACAAATCTGAACAGTCAGAGCAAGAACAAGTTGATCTGCGACCTGTTCAAGTTAGGTATTTGCATGTGTAAGGAGTTTTTCGACATTCATTACCACGTTCTTCAACATCGCGTGAGCAGCAGCCGTTGTTCGCCCGTTATTGCTAACGCGGCTTCGCCAACTTCGCGCTCACCATTTTGCCAAACCATGCACTGCTGGCCCAGCTGAGCCGGCCTAAGCTTCGAGCCTAGCCCGAACCTCGATGCCAGCCTAGCACTAGCTAGCTCGCACACACCGCGTAACCGTTTGCATGTTTCGCACATAAGTATTCGCTCAGTACATTCGCTCATACTTTGTACTCGTTTGACACCTAGTGCAATAATCGTTATCTCATTCCATTACACACGTAACACTTGGTTATCAAAGCCACCTCCTTTTCGGACCGTGCATCTCCGCACACAGAGAAATCAACTTTTGATTTTTGCACTCGAAGGGACTCATGCCCCTTAGCGCCTAGGAGCCGATGCCCTCTCGTTCCCTTGTAAACGCGTGCAGCCACGACTGCGCCTGGAGCTAAGCCGAGTCGCCGTCCTTCGAAATGGCCGAACACATCGACGTCACGACACTCACGCAGGAGCGCCTAAACCAACTGCTGCAGCAGCTGCACGAAAGCGTCAAAATATATGCTTAACATGCTAGGCTAAGGAGCCTAGGGTTTAGCTAGCATGAGAGTAGTGAGAGGAAGAGGGGGTGACAATATTGAAAGAGGTACAAGATACAGTAGAGCAAAGAGAAGGTGGTAAAGGAGGAGGGGGTACACCACCAAGAGAGAACAAGATACTTCACAACTAGTGTACATGTAGTTACACATAAGAAATATAATTTCTAACAGAAAGCACCGAAGTAATTGCAGCGCTGACGGCAGAACACGCGTCACTACAAAATGACGTCGCACCAGCGCAACAAGAACAATCACAAGCACAAGGCACATACGGACAAGCTGTACGACAAGCTTCGCAGCACGGAAGCGTGGGGCAACCCTCGAGCGCGGCTAGTGATGGCGTCGCCCGCAACGACGGAGACGACGACCACGGCGCGACACACCCCGAAGCGACGAATGCGGCCAGGAGCTAGCCTCGCATCACGATTTCGGTGCCGACCGGCGAGGCAGCACTGCCATCGCCGATGCCGCTCAAGCTGTCAAACTACAATGCTTGTTGTTGGTTGTAGGCTGTAGTGGGATAGCTTACATGAGGTACAACACATTCTAGGGTTTGTACTTGGATCCCAACCCTTGCTAGTTCAATCATTCGTGCTAGTAATTCTGACATGGTTTCAGAGCAGTAGGTCCGTAGGACCGAACCGTTTTTTTTTTAGGGCCCACCGTCCGCTACCCCACGCCCTAGCCGCCCTGCCTGCGCGCCATCCGCCCGCTGCCTCGTCAGCCCCGCGAGCCGCCCGTCCGCTGCCTTGTCAGCCCCGCGCGCTGCCTCTGCTGCCCCGCGCGCCCACCCCGCAGCCCTCGCGCTGCCTCTGTTGCCCCGCGCACCCGACTCGCAGCCCTGCCAGCTGCCGCTGCTGCCCCGCGCGCCCACCCCGCGGCCCTCGCGCTGCCCTTGCTGCACTGCGCGCCCAACCCGCAGCCCCGCCAGCTACCTCTGCTGCCCCGCGCGCCCACCCCGCAGCCCTCGCGCTGCCCTTACTGCCCCGCTCAACCGACCCGCAGCCCCGCCAGCTGCCTCTGCTGCCCCGCGCGCCCACCCCGCAGCCCTCGCGCTGCCCTTACTGCCCCGCGCGCCCAACCTGCACACCCGCCAGCTGCCTCTGCTGCCCCGCGCGCCCACCCCGCAGCCCGCGCGCTGCCTCTGCTGCCCCGCGCGTCCACCCGCAGCCCCGCGCGCTGCCTCTGCTGCTCCGCGCGCCCTACCTGCAGCCCGCGCGCTGCCTTTGCTGCCCCGTGCGCACAATCCCGCAGCCCGCATGCTGCCTCTGCTGTCCTACCCCGTGCACTGCCGTTCCTTCCTGAGTGGCCATGGCCTCTATCAGCATTCTGTGGTTTGACCTGAGGGACGTCCGATAGAGTTTGATGCCTGGCTCGAAGATCTGCAGCTGTACCTTATGACTGATGCTAAAGACGGCGTATCCCTCTTTGACATCGTGTCTGGCACCTCAGTCGCTCCAGCAGACACAGCTAACAGCCTCACTCGCTCACAGTGGCTTACCCGTGACGCTGCTGCCCGCCTAGCTATTCGCAACCACCTGCCGTTAGCCGAACGCACTCACTTTGGCCAGCACAAAACTGCTAAGGCACTGTACATTGCTGCCATCACTCGCTACTCTCCCCAAGCCACTGCTGCTCTCAGCCGCCTTATCCTACCCTACCTGTTCTCTGAGCTTTCCTCCTTCGCCACAGCTGAGGACCTCATAGCTCACCTTCGCGCTAGTGACCTACGCTACCGCGCCGCCCTCCCAGCCGAGTTCTTCGCCAAAAACCCTCCCCCGATGTACATCACCTAGTCACCCAACTCCCTGACTCTCTTCGTGTAGTCAGGGACCACTTCCTCGCCCTCCCCCCCACCGACCTCACAATCGACGACCTTGAGGAGCACCTTATTGCAGCTGAGTCCAACATCGTCGCTGTAGGTGCTGCTCGTGGCACCCCCGGCACTCCCCTCTTTGAGGGGTGTGCCCCCTCCCCGCTTGCCCCCTCCCATACCTCTGCTGCTGCTGTTGACTTCCTTGGTGCTGAGGAGGTCGGTGCTGCTTCTGCCCCTAGTGGGAAGCGCCGCAACGGCAATGGCAGGGGAGGCAAGGGTGGCAGTGGTGGCAGCGGGGGAGGTGGTGGTGGAGGCGAGGGCGGTGGGGGTGGGGGTGGCGGTGGGGGTGGTGGCGGGAGTGGAGGTGTAGGTGGCGGCGGTGGCGGCGGTGGTGGGCGTGGTGGTGGTGGAGGTGGCAGTGGTGGGAGCGGTGGCGGCGGTGGGGGTGGTGGCGGCGGTGGGGGCGGTGGTACCGGCGGTGGTGGCAGCGGTGGTGGCGGAGGTGCTGGTGGTGGCCAGCGCCAGCAGCAGCAGCGTGCGCGCGAGCCCCTCACGCCCCAGCAGCTTCGTGAGTGGTACGCTCAGCATGGGGCGTCTAAGAGTAGTGCTCACTGCAAGTATGTCATTCGCACCGAGGACCGCGCTGGTCAGACATGCATGAAGTTTCACACTGAGTACCGCTGTTTCTCCCGCCCTGATGACGCCTGGCGTGCCCAGTTTCCTGACGCAGTAGAGCTCCCCCGCTAGACGGATCTGCTTAAGCGTGATGTTGATATCTTTGCACTAGACATTGATGCTATCCTTGCTGCCATGTATGCATTGACTGTTAGTGCTGATGGGGACTGTTACTTGTGTATGCCACATGACCCAGGTATAGAGTCTGCTGCTCTAGGTGCTTGTGAGTCTGCTCTCTCTGGTACTGCGCCTGCTGAGGCCTTGCACACCTTCACTCTTGACTCAAGTGCTTCTCACTGCTGCTTTCGTGATAGTACCGAGCTCACACCGCTCCCTAGACCGGTTGCGGTCTCCCTGGCTGACCCCTCTGGGGATCCCGTGCTTGCACACTCCTCCACTGTGCTCCCGTGTCCGGCGGTTCCGTCCGGCTCACTATCAGGTCTCCACCTCCCCTCGTTCTCGACGAACTTGGTGAGCAACGCTGTCCTTCAGGATGCAGGGGTTAATACCTTTACCCCTGGACGGCAGCGTGTGGCGATCTGTACGTGCTCCCGGACCGGCCGTCACCTGGCCACGTTCACTCGTCGGCCTGGGTCGAGCCTGTACACACTGACTACTGAGCCTCCTCAGGTTGCTGCGTCTGGTCAGATGGTTGCGTCGGGTCAGGTAGCTCCCCCCTGCGAGTGTCGTCACCTGTCGCACCAGACCCTCCTTTGGCACCACCGCCTTGGTCACCCCTCCCTGCCACGCCTTCGTGGCATGCACTCCCGCCTCCTTGTCTCTGGTCTTCCCAGGTCTCTTCCTTCCCTCCCACCCTCGCCTGCCCCGCCCTGCGTTCCTTGCGTCGAGGGGCGGCAGCACGCCGCTCCTCACTCCTCCTCGTTTCCCCCGACGACTGCTCCCCTGCAGACCCTTCACCTGGACGTGTGGGGCCCAGCCCGCGTCCAGAGACACGACCGTGAGCGGTACTTTCTGCTGGTTGTTGACGACTACTCGCGTTACACCACGGTCTTCCCCTTGCGCAGGGTGGGTGAGGTCCCTGATGTCTTGATCCCTTGGATCCGCGCTGTACGTCTCCAGCTCCGCGAGCGGTTCCAGACGGACTTTCCCGTCCTGCGTCTGCACTCTGACAAAGGTGGTGAGTTCTCCTCCGACCTCTTAGGAGACTTTTGTCAGGGGGACGACATCCTCCAGTCGTTCACGCTTCCGGCCTCTCCACAGCAGAATGGGGTTGCTGAGCGCCGCATTGGCTTAGTCATGGAGGTTGCTCGTACCTCCATGATCCATGCGGTTGCTCCCCATTTTCTTTGGCCGTTTGCGGTCCGGTACGCCGCGCATCAGCTCAACCTCTAGCCCCGTGTCTCCCTGCCGGAGACCTCGCCCACACTGCGTTGGACGGGGAAGGTTGGCGATGCGTCGCGGTTCCGGGTCTGGGGCTCTCGTGCCTTTGTCCGCGATACCACCGCGGACAAGCTCTCCTCTCTCGCCATTCACTGCGTCTTCCTTGGCTTTGTGCCTGACGCGCCTGGCTGGCAGTTTTACCACCCCACCTCGCGCCGTGTCTTCCCCTCTCAGGACGTCATGTTTGACGATTCGGTTCCCTTTTTCTGAGTCTTCCCCTACCGCACTGCTCCCCCCCCGCCACCGCCGCTCTTCCTCGCTCCAGGCCCCCCTCCGGTAGACCCCCTCACCCCTCCTGGTCCTGCTCCTTCAGGTGTGTCTCAGGTAGACCCTCCCTTGACTGAGCCTGTTGAGGTCACTGGTGACTCAGGTGCTGCTGGGTGGGGGTGCTGCTCGGGGTGCGGGGCCTTGGGGTGCTGAGCCTGCGACTGCGGAGCCTGGGGGTGCTGAGCCTGCGGGTGTGGAGCCTGGGGGTGCTGAGCCTGAGGGTGCGGAGCGTGGGGGTGCTGAGCTTGCGAGTCCAGAGCCTGGGGGTGCTGAGCCTGCGACTGCGGAGCCTGGGGGTGCTGAGCCTGCGACTTCGGAGCCTGGGGGTGCTGAGCCTACGACTTCGGAGCCTGGGGGTGCTGAGCCTGAGCGTGCGGAGCCTGGGGGTGCTGAGCCTGCGAGTGCGGAGCCTGGGGGTGTTACGTCTAGGAGTGTTGCACCTAGGGGTACTGCGTCTCCCATCCGGGAGCCTCTCTCCCCACAGCAGTTGCGCGAGTGGTATGCTAGCCGCTGTCACCTTGTGAGTGATGCGGTTGGAGCTAGTGGCACTGGAGCTCGGGCCACTGGTGCTGGAGGTACCGGAGGAGCTGGAGCTAGTGGTCCTAGAGGCGCTGGTGCTGTAGGCCCTGGAGCTGGGGACGCTGGCGCCGGTGGCGCTGGAGGCGCGGGAGCTGGGGGCACTGGAGCTAACACTATTGGAGCTGGCGTTGCTAGAGCTGGAGGTGCTGGAGCTGGAGGCCTTGTGCAGCAACGACCGTTTTTTGAGCCGCCGCCGCAGCTGTCTGAGCTTCCACCCGAGTCCGTTCTTAGTCTTCCTTCGTCCACTGCCCTTCCTCCTGGCTCGCCCCTGCCTATCCCGTCCCGCTACACTGAGCAGCCGGTCCCCCTTATAGAGCGTCGTGAGCCTGCGTCTCGTCCTGCCTCCCCTGTTCGCGCTGTTCGCACTGCTCGTCGTGTCCCGCGTCCGCGTCCTCCTCCTGTGCCAGGCACTCACACTATGGCACTTCGTCCCTCCTCTGCTCCACAGCGCGTCCCGCTGCCGTCTCCTCCTGCGTCCTCTCTTCCTGAGCTTCCTGACCCTGAGTCTGATGCTGTTCGTGCTGCTAGCCCCACCGTCACGCGTCTTCTGGCTACTGTTGTCACTGACCCGTCGTTTGAGTCCACTGCTGCGTCTGCCTTAGTTGCTGAGCTTGTCAACTTTGCTGCTGCGTGTCGTCTAGACTACGCCGCCAGTCTTGTTGCTGAGTCTGAGTCTGTCTGTCCTCCATCCGTCGGGGGTGAGTGTGCTCTTGGCACGGACGTCCTTGAGGACAGGCAGGAGGACTTTGACTGTCTTGCGGCTGCTGTACCTCTTCTCGTGGCTTGGCTGCTTGCCCAAGAGGGAGACCCGGATGCTCTAGACATCCCGACCCCGCACTCTTACACAAAGGCGATCACGGGTCCCTACTCCTCTCAGTGGCAGACAGCCATGGACGCAAAGATGGCATCCTGGAAGTCCACAGGCACTTACGTCGACGCAATTCTCCCTCCTGGGGCGAACATAGTCGATGACTTGTGGATTTTCAGGGTGAAGCGGCCGCCGGGTTCTCCGCCTATCTTCAAGGCTCGTTACGTTGCACGAGGCTTCAGTCAGCGGCAGGGAGTTGACTTCTTCCAGACCTTCTCCCCTACCCCGAAGATGACCACTCTTCGGGTACTGCTGCACGTTGCCGCTCAGCGTGACTACGAGCTTCACTCTCTTGACTTCAGCACAGCGTTCTTGCAGGGCAGCCTGCACGAGGAGATTTGGCTGCGCCTCCCTCTTGGCTTCACTGGGTCGTTTCCTCCTGGTACCCAATGGAGCCTCCGGCGGCCAGTCTACGGCCTCCGCCAGGCGCCTCGTGAGTGGCACGATACACTGAGGACGACACTTGCGGCTCTTGGGTTTGCGCCTTCTACTGCTGACCCGTCGCTGTTTCTGCGCACCGACACTTCGCTGCCACCGTTCTACATCCTCGTGTACGTCGACGACTTGGTCTTTGCCACTGCTGACACTGAGGCACTCGCCCTTGTGAAGTCGGAGCTGCAGAAGAGACACACGTGCACAGACCTGGGTGAGCTGCGCAGCTACCTTGGCTTGCAGATCACCCGAGACAGAGCACACCGCACGATTACCCTGACTCAGTCACACATGGTGCAGCAGGTCCTTCAGCGCTTCAGCTTCACTTGGTCCTCGCCACAGTCCACTGCTATGGCTAGGGGTTACTCGCTCTCAGCTCCACCTTCGGACGAGTCCGTAGAGCCGAGTGGCCCGTACCCTGAGCTTGTGGGCTGCCTCATGTACTTGATGACCTGCACTCGACCTGACCTTGCGTACCCTCTTAGCATCCTTGCTCGCTACGTTGCACCTGGGAGACACCGGCGAGAGCACTGGGAGGCTGCTAAGAGGGTGCTACGCTACTTGTGCAGTACATCAGGCATGGGGCTGGTGCTTGGAGGACGGGGTCCAGTTGTCCTCACTGGACACTCAGACGCCTCTTGGGTTGACGACCTGGCTACACAGCGGTCGTCGCAGGGTTACACCTTCAGCCTTGGTTCCGGCTCTGTCTCTTGGCGGTCTACCCGCTCTTCTTCTATTCTCAGCTCCAGTTGTGAGGCTGAGATCTACGCCACAGCCATGGCTGCACAGGAGCTACGCTGGCTCACCTACCTGCTGACTGACTTGGGAGAGCGGCCTCGTTCTCCTCTAGTTCTGTACGGCGACAACAAGGCAGCCCTCGCCTTGTGTCAGGAGCACAGACTGGAGCACAGAACGAAGCACATCGCTCTGCGTTACTTTCTTGCTCGAGAGCTGCAGCAGCGTGGCCAGCTTCGTCTTGCTTACGTGGACACGCGGGCCAACACGGGTGATGTATTCACCAAGGCACTTCCGCCTAGTGATCATCAGCGGCACTGCACTGCTCTAGGCCTCGTGCCTACGTTCTCTCACTTGCTTACTGCTTGACCTTGCTTGTACTGTGATCTTTATATATACCTGCATGCTTACACTTGCTAGGTAGTGATCACTGTACTGTTTGCTCTCTCTTATATAACTATGCATGTGAACTGGCCATGTGACCTTTTGCTTGTGCTCAGAATGTGTGGTGAAATCGTGATCCACCCTGAGCTTGCTTGCTTTTCTTGACTGGTCTTGTGACCGCTTGTTCTCCCCCACTTTGCCTATGGGGGTGTGTCAAACTATAATGCTTGTTGTTGGTTGTAGGCTGTAGTGGGGTAGCTTACATGGGGTACAACACATTCTAGGGTTTATACTTGTATCCCAACCCTTGCTAGTTCAATCATTCTTGCGAGTGATTCTGACACAAGCCGCATCGTCCGCCTTGCTTCGATCAAAGCCATTAGGGTGGTCTGACTGTTCAGGCGTG